CTTTAATTTTGTCAGGATGAAGCAGTCCTTGGCACACACTCCGCAAGCCAAGGATAACCACAAAGAACCCAATCTGGTTTTTCGCTCAGCTTGTGCCAGTGCTGTTCCCTTTGTTCATTTGTTGCAATAATCATCAGAACTTTCCCTGCAAAAAGAAGGTAAGTCACACTGTGACAAACTTGTCACAAATTTCCTAGCCCAGATGGTTTTTGAGAGAACTGCAGTCAGAAAGGCATGTGGTTTCAGTGCCCTTCTAAAGCTAGACATTTGTTAAGCAGCTGTCTGATGAAGGAAATGAAACAAAAGGATCTTGTACTTTCTGGAGAGGGCTAATAACAGATTTCTATGGGAATAATTTTAGCACACAAACATTTTCAGTGCTCCTGTAGCACATGTGCTCAGTCTCCCAGTGACCAAATGGCACCTGTGCTCTAAAAGAAGGTTTAAATGCTACCTTTTTGCTTGGAAAACTGCCAGACCAACCTGAATGGCAAAGAACTTCCTCTGGCTGTTTTAAAAGCACCCTCTCCCCAAACTGTCAAATATAGTGGACTTTTAGGTCTGCCATTTGTAAAAAGACAAAAAATATTACATTTTAAGATCAGTGAGGCAGTGAGTATTTAAATTAAAAACTTGGTTATCTTTAATGCTCTTCAGATACAAGGTACATAGATCTTCTAGAGGAAGAACACATATAGTAGGCTTCTAAAAAAACCCTCTCGTTCTGCACTAATGCCGCTATTTTCTGAAGAACTCTGACCCTACTTCTGTTGACGACACTGGCTAAGTGCTCAACTCATTCATTGGTTTCAACTTAGAAGAGAAAAGGTGTCTTGTATAATACGCATCTCCTGCGGCAGTGGTTTATTAGGGGAAGAGGTTTAAGTGATCCTTCCCCTGCAGGCTGAATAAAACATTTCTGTGCTGGGATGCTGATGGTGGGTAGTTCCCAGCTCCTGGCACCAGCAACTGAGACTACCCCAGCAGGTACAGCGCGCCTTTAGATGAAAACCTTTCACACCTGCTAAAGGAAGGGTGTGCTGCACGGTCTGTACGCTACTGCTGGCTAACCTCCTCTTTCTACTGCTGATCTGGATCAAGCAAGGTCTTAGAGGGAGTAGGAGGAAAGCTGTAGAGTAACATTATGTACTAAAGTCATACAGGTGAGAAATAACAGCTCTCAAAGTACATGTAACAGGAGCCAAGCCATTGTTTTTCTTTTAGAGCTGAAGCCAGAATCTTCCTTTTCCTTTACTCTTACGTACATACTCTAGATAAGCTGCACATGTTAGTCTGGAATACTACATGCTTAGCAGTAGTAAATTTACATTTAGATGTGAGAACTAGTTCAATGCACAAATATGGAGTAAAAGCTATTTGGGCCTGAGACTGAATAAGCAGAATACACAAGAGTATTTTTTCTTATATGTTTACTTCTTTTAAGAATAAAATCTCAAACCCATATACTCTGTATTTTGGGAGACGAGACTTTCAATGTTAGTTTTTCTCTTGACTCACTAAACTTTTGATTTGAAGTGCGGAAAAATTGCAATGAAGTGAGTTCTGCCAGTTCACTTGAAGATGAGTGTTTTAGCCTATTCCCAAGCCTGCTGAACAGCACTCACTCCACCACCATAGCAGCAAACCCCACAATTAACTGGCAAATTGGTGATTCCATGCTTTTGGCTGTAACTTAGAATGTAATTTTCTTTTATGCATAGGTGTAGTAAAAGTTATTCACCTGTTCTTGGACTGTAGGACAGATCAAAACCACCTTCTTAAACTCCTCACTGCAGCTGTGATACCTTAAGAGGGGTAGTACTATTAAAATCTAAGAAAAAAGGCCCCTCTTGTTGAGGCAGGAATGTGGTGGGGATAATGTTGTAAACTCCAGCAAATATGTTCTCCACTTCCAAGTAGCAAAATCCACACCTATGATAAAAGAAACCACCTGTTAGAACTAAGCTCTGAAGTATGTTTCAAACCCCTAAGCCTTCATTAAGTGAGTATTACCTGTAGTCACCGCTGCTCTTTTTCTGAAAGCTGTGGGAACCAGGATCTCCTACTGTTGAGACTGTGACAAGTTCAAAACCAACGCTGTATTGCCTGCAAGTGGCATGACAGACTATTACTTTAGTTGTTTGGGTCGTTGGGATTACCGTGAAGAGGGCTATTTATTAGAAACTACACGGTGTAACTGGAAGACATCTAAAAGCTTTGTCACATTTGTGATAGAAACATTAAGTCAAACTCTATCACGACATGAACACAGAAGTTGGAGGAAGATGGAACACATTTCAAGTTTGGAACTAGACTCCATGGAAAATGCCAGCTAGAAGTCTGCCTCTGTGTTTAAGCAGACTTTGAGTAGTTAAAACTTGTGGTGACGTACTCCAGTGCCACATGGCACAGATCCCAGGGTGCGATCTGATCCCTGTCAGAGGAATCAACATCGGCAATCTCAGCAGAATTTCTCATGTTGCGCTGTAACTTGGGACAGTTTGTCTACTACCTGTTAACGCATGTGACAGGTACCACTGCCCCTGTCATTCAAACTACCCAGATATCATGTGCAAGCGCAGACAAAAATGCACACAAACACCCATTTAATTAGGGGAAGAGTATAGCCACACTTTTGCGCTCATCTTCATTTCATGAGAGAAGGAGTTTCCTCAAAGAGGGGAGAGTGGATAAAGAAGTACCGCCATTTTGTGGAGCCCACTGTACAGCTTTGCAAAAGAGAAACACTTGACTGCATGTCAGGGATGTTATTTAGAAGCACTGGATACTGTTACTTTGAGGAAGATAATGAATTCTACCAAAGGAACAAGGCCCTGCAGAGGTCCACTCTATAGGGCACTGATACCTGGTGCTTCTTCTGGCCTGCTAGCGGCAGAGTAAATGCACTTCCAGAGCTGAAGCTACTGCCTAGGCTGTTAATTGAGAGCCTATAAGGGTTCAGCATCCTGCATATTAGCTCTACTCCAAAAGAAAAGGAATTATGATTGTAATTAGTATTAAGAAGAAGAAAAGGTCCTTTGTACCATCTTCCCTTCTGTGCAAGGCCTAGTTCTGCTCAGACCCCAAAACTAAAGAGAAAGAAGGCTCCTGCTCTCCTTGTAGGTCAATGATTTCCTCAGTAGCAAACATTCAGGTTTAAATCACTGCTGATGTGAAGTCAGAGACATAAATAGTGCTCAGAGCTACCTCCCCTACCTTGTCTTCCGGAGCATCCCACTCTCCCCATGGAGGATACTGACAAAGCTTTATCTTTAGCACATAATACTCTCGCTGTGTCAATACATGCTTAGTCTCTACAAACCTTGGTCCTCGTAGTTCGATTAGCAACGGCCCATTCTTGTCCAGCTGGAATTGATAAATGGGGTTATTTTTGTAGGTGTCTCTGAAATTTCCACATCCTCCAGCACTGTGACCTTTCCACTGTCCATTAACCTGAAAGAAGTCAGAAGTACAGAAAATACTTTACATTCTGAGGATTTGTATTGCTTATTTATACACACAAACACAACTAGAGGCTCCTCTCACTTTAGAGGTCACCGTCTTTAGTAATCTCTCCTAATTTTTGAAGTGGAAGTGAAAGACTGTGTTAAGTATTCAGAAAGTTTCACTGCAGTCTTCCACCCACCTCAATCAAAGGACAAAGACACGCAAGAGGAAAAATGCTTTGAGAAACGGGCCATCTGTTTGCAAGTTCCTCCTGCTAGTCATTAAACTAAAAGGTTAGACTTGTAAGACATGCCAGGCAGTCACACTAATTTATGGCCGAAATCCATTCCTCCCATGATACTTCCCTCCCCTTTCTGTCAAAGCAGCAAGGAGCAACATTTTTTCCTGTGATTGAAGTTTCTTTAATCTGTATCCAAAAACCTCAAACATGGCAAGTTTGGAAGCAAGGGGGAATTTCTACCCCCACCATGCTACTACTCAGGAACTTAAAGCTGCTGCGTGCCGTTAGCTTTCCAGGCTTTATCCGCTTCAGCTGCACTTAGTCCCAGGATTCCCCACCTAGGGCTTGGTGAGCTCCCGAGGTGACCACTCCAGTATAAGATTATCTAACAGAAATTGCTTTTACTGGTAAACTGCCAATTAGTTACCTGCTTGTTTTTAAGTGTGACGACCGCTAAGCAAGCACCAAATAAGCGTTAAGCGCAAGAACTAACTTTTTGTATTTAATCATAAAAACAGAACCAGCCTTGAATAGACAGAACATGCCTTTTATTTGACTACTAGACAGACATCTTCAAATAATTAACAGGAGATTTCCACATAGTTAATTTTCTTTTGAAACATAATACAACATAAAACAGATGTCCTGCCTCAAACAGGCTGGTCACCTTCAATGAGTTTTTGACCTCGTAAAGCATTCCCCCAAACTAAGCCCAGTTTTTAAGAGCTGAAAGGGACAATGGTTTCTGGAAGTACCAAGCAAATTATCTCACTACTCCCAGGAATCTCTCTGGCCACTTACTGTTCTCCAGCCCAGACTAGCTTCAAGGGGCTCTTCCAGAAATAACAGCTGGTACAAAACACTGCCTGAACTCCAGAGAGCCTAGCTGTAAGCCAACATGCCCCCCTGACCACACAAAGTAACGTAATCCTTGGCTTCAGGCACAAGTATCCTAGAAAATAGACTTCCACTATGGCTCAAACTAGCCTTGTTTTTCTCTTCCTGAAGTAGTTACTCTTTGGACAGAAGATTTCTGCCTGTAGTGGGATCCCCAGGGTATGCATGGTAGGTACAGAGATGAAAATTAACAGCTGCTGGCTTACTCTTTCTTGAGGATAAAATTGCTAATACATGAAAATACATGCAAGTTACTTCATCCTGTGAGCTCTTGGCTATATTTATACTTCAGCTGAAGGTGTAACTGTGGCTCATGTTGACAGCTGAAATAGGAACAGCAGCTGGTCCCAAAATTGCCTGGGCTTCTGACTTAATTTCAGTCAAGTTTTTTGCTCTTGCCCCTGCTGCTGTACTCTCAGGGTGTGCGAGTAGCTTATCCCGACGGTTACAGACCTTTGAGATGTCTTTGCAAAATTTAGGAACAGTAATGTATTGTGATATTGCCATCCTAACTCCATTGGTCACCGTCTTGCAACTGGTGCCGTTGGTTTGCCATTGCTGATTTTGTCCCATCATGCCAAGAATTTTCCAAAGAAAATCATGCAATTCTCTCAAGGGAAAATGAGCAACACTTGCAGGGTTTTTACTCTGCAGTACTACTAGCACAATCTGATCTCTGCAGATTAATTACATGTTAGAGTACAGGTTGTTATTCTAAAGGCTGGTGTATTCTACAAAAGCTTTACAGTATATCTGCAATGGCACAGCTGTAACGCACTCCACAATGGAGGTGGAGCTTAGATACCAAATGCCAGTGAAAGTTAAGCCACCATCCGTACAGAGCAGTGTGGACAGAGTGAGCCAGCCCAAGGACTTCTGTATTGGTATGAATTACGCTAACCATGCAGCTAATTATTTGGCAAATTATATGTAACTTGAGTACAGGATTGCTCCTGTGCTAATGATGCTTAGATTAAGCTTTAGTCTTCATTTGTTAGAAGATGGCCTAAGCTGGCATTTTTGGGCAGTAGTATAAAAATATATTTAAAAGCCTCGTACATCTCAAATACGGAAAAGCCAAACAAGAATTATTATCCAGTGACCCATAAAAGAAAATATTTCTTTACCCGTTTGGAAATGGTATAAGGTGTAGGAATCTTGGAAAAGGTGAACTTGCACAAGGAATACACCTGTGTAGTAAAAGAAGCAGCTGGTCATGCATTCATCTTACACTTTTCATATGAAATCATGACATGGTAAAAAAAAAAAAAAAAAGCAGAATTGCCTACACATCATTTTTAGATACTTGTTCACTATATGCCTATATTACCCCTGAGAAAACCCTGTCTGAAACTCAAAATCCAGAATAGTACTGGGACTAACAAGACTCAGTTTACTTAATTTTTATGAAAAAAAGCAAAATAGAATCAATCTGCCTTTTACTTTTTTCAGTGACAAAGACAGACATCTAGCATTGATCATCACGTGACTCAGCAGTTACAGAAAACCCCAAATACTGAATCCAATGACTTAGAGAAGTCGAAGAATCTTTAAATCTTAACTGGGATCTAAAATAGGCTTATTTTGGATACATAGAGATCCAATGCTCTGCCTGTACACAGATTTTTTTAACTCTAGGAATTAAAAGTATTTTTCTGCTGATTTCATTACTAAAACCACACAGACTGTGTTGTCTTACCTACAGTGGAGAACATTATCAAGCACTTCATCCAGTGGTTCTGCTCCATCATTCATAGCCTTCCTCCCCAAAAATAACAATATCGATCCAAAGTACACTTTTTTAAAATCAAACTTACAAATAAAGGACACTCTATAGTTTAATTGTTTACATTCATTATGAAATCAACACTACATACCCTGATGGTGTAATGAATAGTGTTTTGTTTCTCATACTGGGACACCACTAAGGTAAACGTATGGGGCCCTGGAGAGGTCAGCTTTATCTTGGTCAGATAGTGAGGACTGTTGATCCGAATACCATCGATATACGGTGGAGGATCAGCTGAAAAAGAAAAGGATGAACACTTTTTCCCCCGATCAAAAAAACTCCCCTACCTTGGTAAAGCTCTTAGCCGTTTTGTATCAGTGAATTTTGCCAGGAAAGTCAGATTGTTGGTGCTAAGGTTAGACTGTAAGCAGACTTGAGCACTCTCAGAAGAACAGAGCCTCAAGATTTGCTCATAAAAGGACAGATAAGAATAACTATCATTTTCAGGAGAGGTACATCACACATAACAGGACACAAATTCTGCACTTGGAAGTACAGCTTAAATCCCATGACTTGCAAGAACTGCTTATCCATCTCCCACTAATGTCACTACTCAAAGGAGACCTACTGTGATTATGTCGAAATTTAGAGAAAAAGATAAGGAACGTTTGAGCGCTCTCTAAAAATCTGAGGTGGCTGTTCCTTTGCTATTGGCTGGGCAGTTCCAGAATGCAAGCTGCCAAAATCTTTGGCCACTGGGTACACAAATAAATTAACATGTGTTAAAAGTCTTAACGAACTGACACACACTTTCTTTCTCTCTCCAAATCCTTGTGATCATTACACAGATGTAGTTGCATCCCAGTACAAATGCACAAGGTACTCATTATAAAAATCCTAAATATTTGCTTTTACAATTAGACAATGTAATTTGTTATTTGGCCTCTAATTGGTTCTTTCCAGACTTCTTTTAATGTCAGTGAAGCAGGAACAAGTCTAGCGAATTCCTTCAGTAGGCCCAGGATCAGGTCCTTTTATTTTCTTCCACAAAGCAACATGGGAGAGGGGAAAGGATTAATATAAAACAATGAGAAGCTTAGGAATGGGAAGTTTCGCTGCCAAAGGATTAACCTGCTTTGATCTGATCTCATTTTAACAGATGGTAAAAATAATACTGCAGCTTGACCAATCTATTTCTATGGAAAAAAGGTTTTAAACGAGTTTGAGCTCGTGAGATTAAAAGTTTATAAAAGAGTTTAGGTACTGAGACAAAACATACAAATCATAGAATGGTTTGGGTTGGAAGGGACCTTAAAGATCATCTAGTTCCAACCCCCCTGCTGCTCACTTAGTTCTTGCTAGTCGTCTTGCTGGAAGACTGTCTCTTTCAAGTGCAACCGAACAATTCCCTCCACTATACAAATGTGTTTGGTTTGCCCACTTAAGAATGTTTTCAGTGAGACAGGATGTAAAATAAGCACTGCTACAAGTATTAACAGCACCAGAAGCATGTCTTGGGCTGTAAGGAGAAGCAGATGCTTTAACACGATCAGTTCCTGCAAAAACAGATGATGATTTGGTCAGGTCTCAACAGATGCCTTCCGCAGAAAGACAGCTTGGATTCTAGGGGAGTTGGTCAGCAGAGTTCACTGAACGAGACCAGAGATGAACAGCACAACCCTTACCAGACATTCCAATAGGCAAAAAGCCGCAAATGGCACTCTTTGGTGAAAAGGGCTTTAAAAGCTACTCTCTAATTAACTGTTGCTATTACCTATTGCATAAGCAGCTACCTGAATGCAACCCTGGTTCTAAAGAGGTGCCCCATCTGTAAAAGCAACAAGCCGAATCCTACCTGTCCTAGGATGCACCTTCACCAAATTATTCCAAGGAATATTTTTACAGAGATCTCTAACTTGATGTAAAGAATAAATAAAAATATGGTATTAGCTCTACCTTACAGTTGCAGTCTATCCTATCCACTCAACCTGGGCATTACCTTTACTTCCTGTGTCTCAACCTGTGTTTCAGATCTGCTCTCTGTCTTGAAATAAAACATACACGGCTTTTTCACAGCTACAACAAAGCTCCAAAAGCCAAGCCCCTTCTTCTCTAGATGAGTAGAATCTGACCTATAATGACCAAGAGTAATACTTTGGCAAAATTTGAACATCTAAGTATTTTTCTTAAACGTTCCATACCTGATACTTTGAAATATGTTGAAGTGTTCAGCTGTATCTCCCAAGCTTGCTTAGGTACTTTACTAAGCTGAGTTCAGAGAACAATTAACCTTGATTATTTTCATTTAATGGAAGCTGTAAAACTTTTAAGTAATTTCAGAAACATGGGAAGCAATTATGCTATCAGATAAACAGAAGCACAACATCTGTTCTCTCTAAGCATTAACTACTACAACTGCAAAATAAACAGAACAATAGAGAAAATGCTGTGCCAAGTTGTCAGCAGGACTACGTAAACCTCTTAGTGTGCTTCCAACATCTACAGCTTGGTTTATTCCTTCAGTGTAGACTGTTGAAGGCATCCAAGCAGAGCTAAGCAACTATTTCAGAAGACTGATCTCAGAGTGAGGCGTCTAGTTTTAAAGCAGAAGTGCCTTTCCTCTCCACAAAATCCTTTGCAATTCTTCATTTATTTCTAACATAATCTTCTTGACAATTAAGGTACACTAACCTGGATAGTAAACTTTTTTGCCATCAGTCTTGTATACAACCATTGTAATGAATTCCCGATTGTGTGCAAAGTCATCCTATAAAAAAAAAAAGCACAAATAAGTAGACTTGTACGCTTCTGTGGAACGTAACTAACATTTCATCACAGTTGAGTACATGTTCTATCATCCCCTTTGATCATCACACGGTATGATCTGATATTTATATTTATCGAGATACCTGATCCAATTTTTTTTTTTAAAATACCCAAACTAAATAAACTGCCACTAATTTCACTTGTAACAATTCAGGTCCTGGGATTCAAAGTTACTTCAGAACCTTTATGGTGGAATATAATCAACCCAATTTTTACTCAGGGTCTATTTCAACAAGATTGTTTGTAGGTACGTGTACCTGCTGAATTTAAAATCTATACAGAGGCATACATACCTGAACATGAAAACATAAGCAGCAATATGCTAATAACAGAAAGCTATAAAGATTTACAGAAGATGTTGCAGAACTCATAATGCAGAAAAGGAACCGGGCACCTTATCTGTGATGTGCCTGCTAAGCAGAACCCAGACAGCAGCACCACCCTGTGGACACTGGACCTCCAGCTTGTACTGAGGGTTGTTAGCCAGGCTGTAGGCATCCTTCACCGGACCTTGCTTCGCGTCCCAAGTACTAAAAGTAATACAGACACATTATTAGACGAGTAAGGTACCAATTCGTGCTTTGAAAACTAACTCCAAATCCCACATATATACAGAGCAAAGTAACAAAGTTACTGAAGGCTGATTTTCTACTGGAATCTATGACAGTGCTTACATAATACAATGGTGTCAGAAGCATCATCTTACAACTTTGTTTTACAAATGACTTCACTACAAGTGTGGTAAGAAAAAACACTAAATACAAACAGCTCAGCTGTTTGGTATGGTGACTGCAACCACACAGTTGCACAGAAAAAGCTGAACCATTCAAGGAGCCTGGGCTACCCAATTATAGTCATGATTGCATACACCAATATTCTGTGAAAAACACCTATGGCTTTTGTAACTGTAGAAATCCAGATATAAGCTATGGTTGGTTTCAAAAACTTGCTGATTTTTTCTCCTCCAGTTTTTTATTGAGGTAATTTTTATTTTAAAATTTGATCTGTTTAATGTTTGGAAGAGTGTCTGCATGAAGCGTTTAAGATCTTTGAGGTACCCTATTGCAAAATCTGCCCACTGCCTCATGACCTGTCTAGACAAGGAAAATACATTACGAAAAAATAAACAGTGCTGATGCAAAGCGTGGCACACTGGAAACCGAAGTGGATAAAGCTATTCCTAAGTGTCATTGACCTTCCCACACTTTGAAAACTGAACAGCATGTGTGCAAGTCTGCATTATCAACCAAGATTCAAATTATCACCATCATTACTCCACTTTTTATGGCAATTGCCACCGCACTAGGCATTTCCCTAC